CTATACTCGACTATACTCTATTATACTCGTCTATACTCGACTATACTCTATTATACTCGTGTATACTCGACTATACTCTATTATACTCGCCTATACTCGACTATACTCGAATGAATATAGAATATACTGAATATACTGAGTAGCACTATACTCGAATTTTTATTTTAATATTTAATCTCATTTTAATTCTTCATTTCTCACGTATCAACCGAATAACATTTTTTTTTTATTATCGTAACAGGAAAGATAGAATAAATATTACGCATTACTTTTAACTTGATAGAAATAATTAATCGTAACATATATATATATATTATTTTTTTCTCACCATTTGATAACAAGTAACGTTACAAACGTGCAATGTCACAAATAAATATTATTCCTTGACAATAAATGTATCTGAATACTGGAAAATAATTAAATTACTTTTATTGTCTTATTTTTGTTATTTCCTGTTCTCACGCTTTCAATTATTCGAACGTATAATATAAATATATAATAGTAGTAGTGAAGTTATGAATAAAAAAAAAGATCTTTTATAGATTAGGTATCCTTTAATCATTTTATTAGAACTATGCACGCACATCCATCAACGACTATATAAAAAGATTTTTTTAAAGGAACGTGAGAAGTTAGTCAGTACCAACGAAATAATATTCTTTCTCAAAAAGTGAATAATAATGAAAATGTATTTTGCATTTTCAGTTTCGATATTGTGCGCTCTATTACTTCCATATTACGTTGTGAGTTTCTTTTTCACATATATATATAAATATTATCAATAAATATAGTTCAATAATTGTTTATCATGTTTACAGGAAGCAACAGAACTAAAAATAAAAGGTTGTAACATAGAAAACTTAGCTCCAGGACAATTATCATTAGACGAATTAAATGTATCCGATAAAGGAATAACGAATTCAAAATTGACTTTTAATTCTGAACTGAGTCCGAGTACTGTAGCGGTATTTTCATTTATATAAATATCTTTTAATATTGTTTTTTTTTTTAGTAATTTGTAATAAAGAAAAAATTTCTATTCGAATTATTTCGATTTTTTTTTTTTTTTTTAACGAACGAATAATAATAAATAAATTTAATATCATTGTAGGTGCACGTGATAATAAACGATGAAGATGGCAATTCAATGATGGAACAAAATGTTGATTTATGTAGTATGAGTTCGAGCGACATATTCAAAGGTTATTTCTTATCGTTCGATAACCCTGATTTTAATGAAGGAAATTGTCCAATACCTGCTGTAAGTATTAAAGAATTAATTTCAATGATTGTGTCATTATCATTTAAATTCTTTACGTAATAATTTTATCGATCGAACATTTTCTAGGGTACTTATGGGTCAGGTCAATTTGATGTGGAAATTGATGATCCACCTGAAGGAGAATATTCGGTTATTTTCGAAATATTAGATGGGCCAAGTATGATATTCCGTGTACAATGTAATGTTGAAATCGCTTAGTGTAAAATATATAATTATTACTTGTAGAAAATAATGCATAATAACATTTCAGCTATATTATTATAGCACGCTTCATTTTTAATTATGTAATTATTTACTTATTATATTATATTATATTTTGATGCATGATTAATTCTTCATTATTATTATTATTATTAACTGGCATTAGAAACTTGAAAGTTCATTGCCACAAATACCAAATCCCGCCATTGTTCCCGTCCCTGAACGCGATCCTTCCATCGTATCCTATTTCTTTCAGGTCTCTTCTAATATTATCCTCCCATCTATGTCTTGGTCTACCTAGTGGTCTTTTCCTGTTTGGTATACCGACCAATATTTTGTGCGCCCTTCGTTTTTAGTACTATCTATTAATATTTTTGCGTTATTAATTAATGACTCTTCATTGTTCCCTAATAAAGCAATATCGTCCGCGTATGTCAACAATTGTGTTGTCCCGTTCAATTGTAGACCATCTTTACTTTTCTGCAGTTCTTTGACAGCGAATTCCAGTACTAAATTGAACAAAAGGAGTGACAATGCGTCCCCTTGTTTTAACCCGCAATGGATATTAAAATCTTCCGATATTTGGTTACCTAACCTCACTACCTAATCCTTTTATTTATTTCATTTAACAAGAACCAACTTCTAACTCGAATTATATAATAACTTAACCCTTTCGTTATCAGCAATCCATATACTGGTCGTATAAATTATGTTATAATGAAAGGGTTAAATAAATGTATTTATAATTTCTATATTATTATTATTGTTAATTAAGCTCTTAATAAAGCTGTAATCATTTATTTGTATTTAGTTTTTAACACATTTCTAACATTTCTTGAAATCGTTGACTTTTAGAAAAAGATAAGTAATATGATAATAAAAAGTGAAGATATAAGAGAAGAACTGTTAGTTTACTGACGTTTTTTAATGTCTTCGTTTGTTCAACACTTTGTCTTTCTTTCTGGAAACTTGACAACTTTAATGATGATTTATTCTTTGCTTTACCATAGACAAATTTTTCTATGTAAATATACAAATATTTGTATTATTAACAAATCATCTGTATAATTTGTATAATTAATCGAAATTATGCTGGTAAATCTTACGATCATTGAATTCACTTTGTTTTCTTGTTACGATTGGTTTCTGAATATTTTTCGTTCGAAGAAAACGATCTTTATAATCATCGAGAACCGTTTTTGTTTTCTATAATGTATACAATAATTATTTAACAATAATTGTGTGTATATGTGAATTTTTTGGTACAATCATTCACTTACTGATTGAGATTGAAGAAAATCTGTACCACCACGTAAACGTATAGATAATTTTGTACTGGATGAACCTGTAATATAATGGGATTTAGATTATCTAAAAATAATAATTAACCCTTTGCACTCTGCACAACTTTTGATGCTGGGTAGCAACAACTCCGCGCGACTTCGAGGCAGAAACGACACATTTACAGACCCTCGTATTATTTAGTATAACTTTGGAACCATGTAACGGATTCTAATGATATTGGACTTATATTAATCTGTAGACATCAAGGAACATATTTATCTAAAGAACTTTTACCAAAAGATCTTATTTACCAAGAGAATGTATATGTGTAATAGCGTTGCAATTGAACAAAAAGCGAGCGTGTTCCATTGTATTTGAAATGTGACACTATTTAATAATATTTCTTTATACATTATAAATCTCATTATAAAATGCGAGATATGCTCTTATAAAAACCTTTCTTCTACAAATTCTTCTTATCGCTCTTCTCAAGTTTCGCCAAAAAGTTCTCGAACCGTCGTGAGCACGCGTCTCGCATTTTCTTAGAACACAAAACACGCTGACATTTCTTTTATATATATCTTTGTTATTTGACTATATTTTGATTCATTGTCTTGTGCTATTTTAAGAGAAAACATCAGGGAAACATGCATGTCTCAAAAAGTTGTGCTGAAATAACTTCATTCCTCGTAATCACTAATAAACTTTAATGTCTCATACGGTGAGACAGCAAAGTGCAAAGGGTTAAAAATTGGAAAATGATCGGATAAAATCTTACTATCGATCGAAGATTTAGATGATTCTATTTTCCTAATAATCTGATTTTTCTTTCCTTTGTCGAATAATTTCTTTTTTAACAAAGTATTGCATCCAAGTTTTTCATTCTTCGATATAATTTCCTAAAAATTTGTAAAAGATATTAATGCTTATATATATCGATATAGAATTTCTTAAAAAATAAAATGGTTTATCTTTGTACCTTTGATTTATTTATTGATGTAAAATAATTGTCCGTGGAATCTTCGTATTCGGTAATTTCTTGAACGTCAGTCAATGGCACACGTGAAATTCCAATATTGTATTTTTGTTTATTAATCGATCTATTCTTTCTCGTTGATATCTTTTCGTAATAATGATTGCCTAAAAAAGATTATTACATTAGAATGAAAATATTAGGTCGAGTAATAAATAACTTCCGTTTTTTACGAGACAAAGAATGGCGTTTCTGTGACTAATAAGTGCAAGACAATGTAACATTGATTGCATAAAAAAGTTAACAGAAGACTAACTGAATCCTCATCTATATAGTGATATCGAAAATCCGTTTGTTTCAGTGACTTATAGTAGGTAAATACGAAAAATAGATTTTAATACATGGGCTGAGAAGTCCCGGACCTAACACATAAATGGCGCTAGTTTTATTGCATTCATCTCATTTTTAGTTAGTACTAACCTTCAAAAGATATGTGTATAAATTTCCCAACTGTCGAATAGTTGGTTCGTGAGATATAACATTTTGAGTGAAGCAGCTTTTGTTAGTTTCAAAAAGATGCAGAAAAAAGATTTTTGTGTGTTAATAAAACATTGGTTTTTATTGACAAAAAATATTATTGAAACCAAAGCTTGACTTGATAAACATTATTCGGACTCTACACCAGGAAAATCAATCGTTGAGAAGTGGTTTGCTAAGTTTAAACGAGGCAAAATGAGCGTCGAAGATGATGAGCTCAGCGGACGATCGAAAGAGGCTGTTACCGATGAAAACATCAAGAAAGTCGACAAAATAATTTGAAATAAGCGTAAAATAAAGTTGATTGAGTTAGCTGAGACTCTAAAGATATCAAAGGAATGTATAGGACATTAATACATGAATACTTGAACATGCGAAAGCTGTGTGCAAAGTGGATGCCGCGCGTGCTCACAATTGATCCAAAAAAACGATGGCAAAGTTCTATGAATTGGGCTATGAGTTCTTCGAATTGCTTTCCCATCTACCGTATTTTCCAGATCTGGCCGTCAGTGACTTTTTCCTATTTGCAGATCTCAAAAGAGTGCTCGCTGAAAAAAATTCAGCTCTGATGAAGAAGTTATTGCTGAAACTGAGACCTATTTTAAGATAGGCAAAAGATAAATCGTTCTACAAAAGTGGTATTGAAATGTTAGAGCGGCCTTGGAATGATTGTGTTGCTCTTGATAGAGATTATATTGATGAATAAAGCCAATTTTGAACGAAAAAAAAAACCGTGTTGTCTTTGTTAGGCCTGGTACTTCTCAGCCCATGTGTTACATAGCCGCATCAGAAGTTACTTATGACTCGACCTAATAATATTGAAATTGCGTTAAATGAATTGTGAATATGGAATGGTTTTTGTTATAAACCATTGTAATATGTTATAAACCTTGTAAATAATGGAATGGTTTTTCTTAAACTGTATTATTTTGAAACTGTGTAAAAAAAAAAGAAAAACATAATTGGAATTGTATCTAGGAACGTAAAGATTTATAAAAGAAATTTGTCTAAAAATGTTTCTTTATAAAAGAAATTGTTGAAAAGTTTCTGAGTTCAATTTCCCAAGATTTATTTTTAACGTATGTACAAGTATTTATATACTTTGAATTGTAAATTACGAAATATATGTATGAATATATCTATATCTATATATATAGAAGGTTATCGCAAAAGATTGGCAAGAGTCATACTTAAATATCTATAGATTTTAGTATTAAATTGTTTCTCTATTTCTAACAATATAAATCTTACGTTTCATTGGACTAATATTTGCATACCAATCCTAACAATGAATAGATTCAACGAACGTGACTTGATGATTATACTGATTATATTATGCAAATCTATACATACATAATAGGTTAATTAATTCAAAAGAATTAATTCTTTATGCAAATAAAGATGAAACATTTGATCGATTATATAAAGCGATTGTCATTTTATTTAATATTTAAATTGCGTATAGAACTTATTCACAATTTTGAAAATGTTTATCTAACAAAGCACAATTATTAGTAGCAATGTGGTGGAATAATCGATTATTTAAATAATACTCGTTAATAATCAAAATAAAAATTATACAAGTTTCATTATCTGATATATTTTAATTTTATTTATAATTGAATTTTAATTTCTACTTTCTACAAAGAAAAACAAAATAAGATAAAAGATAGCCATGATCTTTTAACTCTCATTGATATATGCGCGACCTCTGGTCAGAATTTATACAACTAAACAGTTATTGCAAACAGATGTATATCGTTGCAATTGTTTCTTCTCCCACTTTTACTCGTTACAATTGATCGAAAAAAATAAACTTATAGATTTTGTAAGATTTATCTTATTTAACTTTTGATTATGATGGAAATTTGTAGTACATTTTTAATTAGAAATTTGATAAACGTAATAGTTTTCATATCATCTATGTAAGTATTGTAATCACTAACTTATTCTTTCCTTTATTATATATGAATTATCTTTTCTTCCAATTCTATTGTCATGTCAGATATAAATATTGAGTAATATTATTTTAGCAGATCACTCCATGCACTTAGACAATAGATTAATCCACAAATTCGGCATAACATGATGGATAACCTAACTGTAAGTAGTAGTTGTAATTGTAATTCATTATTTTCAAAATGATTATTTTACCTATTAACAATTGCTTTGTTCTTCTGTTTGATATGTATTTTCTTTGACATACATGTATTTAAGTTGGCAATGTATAGGTTTTCTTTTTTTAAATCAAAATTATTGTTTTAGGGAATAATCCATGCTGTGTGCAAAGGATTTATAGACAGTTTGAAAGGAGCTATCGTTCTTTTTCATATACAAAGACAAATTAATGAAAGATTAATTAATAGACAACCTTCCAAAACTGACAAACACAAAAGAAGTACTCCTACACGTAGCTCTGCAATACATTCTAATCAACAACAGTATGTTATTACATTCAAATTGAGATTGATTAATGATCATTGAATTAATTTAATTAACCAAAATATAATAATAAGTTTATATGTAATAGAGGGTCTACAGTGTTAAAGCGCACAATTGAATGCTGCGTACTAAATGGCATGGTCTTTTGGGTCAGTATAACAATTTTTGAAAGTGGACTTCTTCCATTCATTAAGTATTTACTGACAATTATATTTGGCCATTCGCCTGATATGGCAGCAACAGTATGGTCCTGGACACAACCATTTTTATCTTTTACTTTTGAAACTGTTTGGGTATTACCATTTTTTCTACTGAGTCGCATAGTCAGCAGTTTTTGGTTTCAGGTAAAAATCAATTCTAATTTAATCTATAACTATGAACATATTCATTTTTTATATTTCATATTATTATTATTATTATTATCAATTTAGGATATAGCTGATAGTGCGTATAGGTATAGACAAGGAAAACCATCAAATCCACCCAATTGGGCCAAATTGGTAGCAGACTATCTTTTCAGTTTATTAGTGGCAACTTTATTTCTAGGACAATCAACGCTAGTATCCAAAATGCCATTACCTTTATTAGGTGATATACTTTCCCTTGTACATACGTGCCTTTTATATGCTCTTTATGCTTTTGAATACAAATGGTACAATATGGGTTGGGAATTGCATAGACGACTGACTTTTATAGAAGAAAATTGGCCATATTTTTTGGGCTTTGGATTACCATTAGCACTAACTATTCGAATGTTTACATCATATGTAATGAGGTAAGATATAAAATAAAATAAAATAAAATAATCAATTGTCTTTTGTTATATAAAAACAATTCTTTCTCTTTTTTTTTTCACAGTGGCTGCTTTTTTTCTGTTCTATTTCCATTTTTTATTATAAGTGGAATCGAAGCAGAACCTGTAACTGGAGTTGGGTATGTCTTTTTCTTATTTTTATACTTGTATATAATTACTATTATATTTTCATTTTAATCTAATATTTATTGAATACTTTGCAGCAATTATCCATTAAAATTGTTCTCTCCAGTTATTGCTATTGCTAATACTCTTTTTAATAAAACCATCGGGGCTCGTTAATTGCAATATCAAGAGAAAATATTAAACATTTGACTATAATTCTTGAATTTAAAATATCATTGGGATTTGATATTTAATTTTTTTAAGGCTTTTATGCAGAACGTTATATAAAATGAGGTTAAACTTTTGTCCTATAGTATTTTGTGATATCTCAATTGTTTTGAATATATAAAATATTCATAAAAGTAAAGAGTAAGTAAGTTGTACTCTTACTGAGATATAATATTTTATTGCAATTGTAAATATTAAAAATATCAATTAACAATATATAGAAACTGTGATTGTCAGAAAATTATCAAATGTTCATAATAAAATTATATAAATTAATATAATATAAATTACTCCCTTTAAAAAAAAAAAAAAAAAAGAGACGAGAAAAAAAAGTAATATAATTGTTTTAGATATTTAGTAATTATTTAAAAAAAAATTTTTACACTTTGATGCACATAATATAATATAATTGTACATTATCTTATGAAATAAGATAGAAGCAAAAATTTTATACTTTTTGTATAGATATTCGATTATGATAAATAAATTATGCAATTTAGTATATTAAGTCAGTAATTATATTATGCAAAATAAAATAAATATAAACAATATATATTATAATGTATAATATATATATATCAAAGATATTTAAAAACCGATCCAAACATGTATATTAAAAAATTAATCCTCTATCCTGAACAAAGTAAAATGAAAAAAAATTAGAAAAAAATAATTTTTATTTCGAATAAAATATATAAGAATATATAGAATGTACAATATAGAATATTATACAGATCAAATATAATGATACATCTTTTTAGTATATTTTTATGTAGTTAAGTTTTGTTAGACAATATAAAAAGATATTTGTGTCCAAGAAAATATTTATAATATCTGTAGGTTTAAATTTGAAAAGTAAATAAAAATCTACAGAATTATCAAATGAATAATTAAAATAAATTAGTTTTATCTTAGAATGAGAGTGAATCTCATGACAGTAAATCTTGTAGAACTAAAAGTTTGTGTTTTGAAAATTCTCAACTTTTCAGCCCTTCTATACATACTAAATACAGTACATCAGTAAATAGAATTTTTTTATTGTTAGTTAAATAATTAAAATTCTTTTTATTGTGATGTACTAAGATAAACTATAGTTAATTTACTTTCAATATTTTTTTTATAAAAAACGATTCGTTATCTCTATTTTTAATTAATAATAGGTTTCAGAATCTGTGTCCTCTTCGAATGGATTAGGTGTTCCTTGTGGAGATTCATCAGCTTCAATTTCATCTTCGCTTTCAGGTTTCTTTTTCTCTTTATTATCCATAGCATACCTTCTCCATGGTAATCTATAATTAACAATAAAATTATTCATTTACAAGATAGATAATTTATAGTATAATAAATATTTATGTAATTTGTAAAATACCTTTTTCTTTCATTATAACAATCTTCGATAAATTTATGTGATACTATTTTAGAATGATTCTTCAGTTGTTGAAATTTTGGTGTATTAGCAAAAGCACAGATTAAGTGTGTACATAAATTATTAGTAGTGTTTGGATTAGCAATATATGTGGCACCCATTTTAATTGCCTTTCTTCTTATTTCGTCCCTTTGAGGATTAACATATCCACTAAGAGAAAAAGTTATATCTTGAAAAAGTTGAGAAAATAATTTCTTAGGTTTATTTTTGGTAACTTTAGTAATAGAAGGAGAAAGTGGTACAGGTTGTGCCAAGCGTCCACACTGTGCACATGGTTTATCATCTGATTCTATCGTACATTTTGGACATTCCTTTTTCACTTTTTTCTGTATATTCTTTTCCTCCGAAGTCAAAGGACGTTTTTTAGATTCTACATTATCAATACTATTTCTCTTTGAATTTGAAGAAGGTATTATGTCTCCAAATGGAGTACGCATAACATTTTCATTTTGTTTATCCTTCATCTCTGTCGCATTAGCTATTGCTATATCTGTAGTTAATTCATATTTATTTGATGGAGGAGTTTTATTTTGATTTCCAAATACTTCTTCAGTCTTACCAGCCTCTAATTTTTCCAATAATGGTCTTTTCATTGGTTCCCTATTTTCTTCTTGGCGTTTAGAGAAAGCCATCATACCGCTTTCTTTAGCTTTTTTAAGTAAATCATCCTTAAGATTTAGTTCCGTTTTCTTCTTCGCCATCATTTTAAGATATTTCTCTTTGAATTCATCTATCGGAGGTTTGCCATCATTTTCTTCTTTTTGTTTTAATTTGAATCGCCCAAAAACGTCTAGCCCTAAATCAACCATTACTTCTGTTTTTGCTATGAAAAACATTAGACCAAATAATTCCTTCAAGTTAGCTGACTGCATACAAGTAACTTTAATTCGGTCAAATTTTGTTTTTATTTTATCTGGATTTAATTCCTTTTTAGTGAACAACTGTACTTGATCTTTGAATTTACCATTCGCAGCCTCATCGTTATTCATGAATTGATGTTGTACGATAGGAAGCCAAGTGTCTGGATCTGTAGATGTAGATGCAGTAACAATAACCACACAAGACCGATAATTACCAATATCAATTCCTGTTATAGTAGAAGGTTCAGCTAATTGAAAGGTAACCGTTGCTAACATTTCTCCAGGCTTTGCACATCTCCATGAAGTGTTTTTACGGTGATCCAATAGATTAGAAGCAGGATAAGATGGATGTTCAGATGAGCAGTGAATTATTTTTGTAAATTTAATGATCATTTTGAAAATCTTTGATTAATTCTTTAAATGTTAGATTCTGTCTTATTCTCAATATTTTAATTTTTACATATAGCTTTTAGACAATTAAATATTGTATAAGATATATTTTCAGATAAATTCGTTCCTTTCATTTAGTTAATATCTAAAAATAATAAATAACACGATATGTCAAAGTAATAAGACAATATTAAATCAATGTAATTTAATCATAACGTCAAATGTAGTATAACATAACCTTACCAGTGCCAACTCGTATCTTTTTATATACAAATTGGAGAAACGTGACAATTTTAAATAACCTAAACAAGAAGCATAAATTTTTTCATTGAAATAATCCAAATTACAAATGAATTAAAAATCAACAAATCTGTAGCAATTGCGATTCGGTAATTGAATCGAACGATAGTTAACAAAGGAGTGAAGAAAATAAACAAATCAATAAAAACAGTTTAAAGATTCGCGCCATGCGATGGTAGCGCTATCGATCGCTCGTACTTTTGACACGCTTAGTACAATTGCATTTTACTAGATGGTGCATGCAGGTAGTCGTGACGTCATAGCGGAGAGAACCGAATTAATCCGAGAGTAATCGAAGGCCGTTGGAAATCGCGAGAAGCGTTCCTGGCGGCAGTCTTCGTAAGTACGTTCACTCGATAGTAAGAGGACGATCATCGTCGTCCGGCGGTGCACGACGAGTTACGAGCAATATGGCGAAGTGTGTCATGGGCTCGGTGAGACGTAGTGCCGTTTGAAAGATGAAAGGTTCGCGGTATGGGTTGAAGATAATCTAGCGTTATGAGGTTCCTGTGAAAGTCGAAATTGTGCGCGCGCGTTAGCTGAAACGAGCCGTTACGAGTGATCAGGTTATACGACACGACGGTGTGCGCGTTGTTACCGGTGTGAAAACACTCACCCACACACTTACACATACATACACATACATAGTTCATACATATATCATATATACATTGAGTACACGCGCGTAGCACTGCACGCATCACACGCATACATTTAAATACACACACGTATACATCACATATACACGAAATGGCCACGGATAAGATAAAGGTCGCCGTTCGGGTCCGGCCGTTTAATCGAAGAGGTATGTTTTACAAAGATCATATATATTCATATACATATATTTTTAATTATGTCAATTAATCGTATGGAATCGAATGAATTCGTTAGGTACAGTATTATTTTTTAATTATTTTTTTTTTTTGAGGGAAGACGTCAAGATGACGAGGTACGACGATGCGTCGTTCTTCCTTCCTTCCTTCCTTTTTTACTTTCTTCCTTCCTTCCTTCCTTTTCATTCTTTTTTTCATACCTGCATTCTTTCTTTATTTAATGATCGTAGAGTAGTCTCGGAACGATCGACCTTCGATTTCTCTTGATTGGAGTTAGTATGATTATGACGAATGACACTTTTATCTTTGACCGCTTGCTCACCTGATCCACGTCGACGTCTCTCTTTACAAACCTTCTCTTTTTACCTTTAACTCTCTATCTCCCCCTCCCCCCTTTTTATCTTTCTTTCTTACAATTTATTATATTCTCTTTCTCTTTTACTTATTCCCCTACTCTCCATTTTCCGATTCGATCGTTCCGAAGTATTAAAGAGTGGAACAAACGGGCTCCGAACGCGTGCGTTAAAATGACAGTGAGAAAGAGAGAGAGAGAGAGAGAGAGAGAGAGAGAGAGAGAGAGAGAGAGAAGTTTGACGTTAAACGTTTTTCTTTTTTTAAGTAAAATTATCGTCGATGTTTTCGTCTAAAAATTTGTTTACTATTTTGTTCCTTTTCTTTTTTCAATGGAAGATTATGTTTATTACGATTTTTTTTATACTGTGCATTATCGTATTGGTAAAACATTAATTGTTAGGAATTTATAATCTTTTTATTATATGTTAGTAACTGTGTAACTATGTAACTTGTGTTGTTGCAAGTATGCACTAAGAAGAAAGGATTCCGTGTTTACACAGAGCAAATCCCATAGCCTGGCGGTTCTTTGTTCGAAAAATAGATTCGAACTTGCTGAGATACTTCTTGCGTTATAATCTACTATTAAATGTATTCACATATGTATATATATATATATATATATATAAGATAAATATTTAAATGTGTGTTGGAATTGTCTTTTGTAATAATTTGTTTGTGTTCAATGTAATTTGATTTTTTTCAAAATGGCACTTTGTACTTTATTTCTTTCAAATAAGAAACTTAAAGGTTTTATGTACAGTGAAATTTCGAAATGTTGATTTTAACTAACATTTATCAATGCAAGGATAGATTAAAAAGATAAATAGATACATAAGAAGTATATTTGAATCTTATAATTAAAGTCAAATGAAATTTTAATTATTAGAAAAATGAAAAATACACAGTGAAATTTAGAAATTTGATTTTATTAATATTTATCAAGATAAATAAGATCTACTTGCATGTGTTCAACCTAATTTTTTTGTATTTCTTCACTATTTTTCAATTGTAACATTTTGAAATAGAAGAAAGAAAGGAACAAAACAAACCGTTCTTTCTTTTTACACGATTTATTTCTTCCAACACAATTGCAAAAGACTTTTTTCCTCGTACCCCCCCGATATTAGCTTTGTTAAAATACGCCAATGCATTCGACGAAACATTTTCATCAAGGTTAAATATAAAGTTCGTGTTATCAAGTGCAAAAAAAAAAAAAGATATATTTATATACAGGTTTTGTTTGTTTCACGAATTTGCGGTGATTTTAATGAACGTTTTGCATTCTTTCTATTTTTTACAATAATAATGCATTACTAACACTAGATATACCAAATCAGTCATTTTGATTGGTCAAGCCATTTTAATTGAAAATTTCTACTTCATGTAACATTTGATTTTTGTAAATAATTAAGCATTTTGTTATTTAAAAATGTTTATAAATTCACTTAATTTATTCAACATTTGTTGTTATTTTTTAAGAGTAATACACCAGTCATTTTGACTAGCGTGGTAGAAAATGGTGATAATGTTACTAGTGTTAATTTGATTTGTATTTGTATTTTTATTTGATTGTCTCGCTAGAAAAGTTCGTATCGATTAACAATAAAAAAAAAAAAAAAAAAAAACAAAACAAAAAACAATTTGGTGTATAAAAAATTCGATTAATTTATTTTAATATACATTTTTCCTCAGCCAATAATTTCTTATACCATTGGGAATTACTTGACAAGTTTGAACCAACTTTAAAATATAATGTAATAAATATTATAAATTGATACGAACTTTTCAAACAGTTCAATAATATGTATTATAAGTTGAAGAATGGTTTGCATAACTTTACAGAAAAGAAAAAAGAGGAATAATATATTTTTCTATGTTTATATTTAGAATTATCAGTGTTAGTCTCGTAGATGTAAATGAAGAAGACGTACGTACACGAGTTATTAAAGTTCGCGAGATTGGCACTTTCGTTATCTTCCTCGTTCTGCGTTTTAATTGGTTGATCGATAACGTCGACTGCTTCTTCTCCTCCCCCTTTCTATTCTCTCTCTCTCTCTTTCTTTATTTCTGTTTTCATCTTTGTTTTTCTGACGTTAAAACATTCATTGTCATCGAGCATTAATTTTTTCATACTCCATGTTTTTATTATACAAATTATGTTCTACGAATGTAAATAATAATAATAATAATAATAATAATAATAATAATAATAATAATAATAATAATAATAATAATAATAATAATAATAATAATAATATATTATACATTGATCGTGGTTATTGATTTCATAGGTTTTGTGTTCTACATATTTTTAACAAATATTAAATTTATGTTTTATTACGTGTGAGTAATTTCGAATAAGAACGTGTTGTTCATCATTCAAATGATTTTCGTAGTTGCCAAGTAGTAGGAGCAGGGGGGAGGGGAGGGGGAAGTATAATGGTCCTTTCATTTTTATTATTGGCTTGATCTAATTCGTGTTTTATCGTGTCATATTTTATATACATAAAATATATTTATGAATGCATATGTTGTGTGTGTGTGTGTGTGCGTGTATTTTTTCTTTTGCTTTATATTTTTTTTTTTGTTCCATTCGTTATCATTTTATTTAATCAAAAGTCGATTAAATGACCTCGCGATAACTTAGATCATATGATAAACGTCAAGTAAACATATACATGTGAATATATATATATATATAGGTACGTGTCTCTGTTGTGTGTTGTTCAACGTATGTGTATATGTGAAACACACCTGTCTCTCACATGTTTCCTCTTCGGACGTCATCGCCTATCTTCGGGACTTTTCCTTCCACTTTCGATTTCGCTGTAACTCCTCGAACACAACAATCTTTAACGTTTACTGACGATAGATCTCGATCATTATCGTTTAACTACTATCGAAAGTAGCTCATCTTCGTTAAGGTTTTCTTTTATTTTCTTTTCTTTTTTCTTTTTTCTTTTTTCTTCTTCTGGTATAAGTTAGTTCTATTAAATCGATATGATTCATATACATTTTATGGAATATCGATCATTTGAAAGTATATTCAGTGTATATGAAATGGTGAATTAACGTGAAAGTAACCTAATTTATTTTATGTATATATATATTTTTAAAAAGTAACGATATTTGACACAAATTGTGAATAAATTAATGTATTCTTTTCAATCTCTCATTTGAACCGTTTATTTTGAAAATGACAGAAGTCTATTATCTCTTCTTGTTTTGAGAAAATTAAAGGTTAGAATATCTGTCAATTAAAAATTTTAGGCAAATTGTATGAAATACTGACAATGTTTCTACTGATTTATAAACATTAGATATACCATTGTAATTGAAAATTTCTACTTCATGTAACATTTGATTTCTGTAAATAATTGAAAAATGTTTATAAATCTATTTATCTATTAAAGTTATTATTGTTAAACATTTTTTGTTATTTTTTAAGAATAAATAAAGACTGGAAGGCTCATAAAACATTTTTTTTGTTTATACACCAGTCATTTTGACTAGTGTGGTAGAAAATGGTGGTATATCTAGTGTTAATATGTAGTTTTGTT